GGGGCTAGGGCCAAAATGGTTTGATTTAAAATGTTTGAATGACTTGTAATTCAGTATAATTAACATGATTACTGTAATGTCATTTAAAAAAAACATGAAACATCACTGGACTAAAAAATGGTAACGTTGCCCTCAAATTGAGTTCAGCTTCCAGTGAGTGCGCGCGTGCTGTTTTCTGCGCAGTATTTCAGAAAAGGTTTACTGCTGCCTTCCCTTTTGTCTCTGAGTACAAAGTGTCTTATTTCACTTTGGAATAAAGAAATAATACTGCTTTTTGCTGTCTTGATTCTTTCCTGTAAGCTTCAGCTTTGCTTTGTGGACATTTGATTATTTCAGTATTGTTTAGGGGGCAGGATGCTTTTTTCAAAAAAAATATCTTGCAATAGTTTAGCACGGAAGGATCCAGAGGCCTTTGCATGCATGATCAACCTGTAGTACTTAACCATTTACAAATTACAGTTTGAGAGCTGGTTTGGTGTTATGATTAAAGGCGCCGGATTAGAAACCAGGAGACTGGGAGTTCTAGTTCTGCCTTAGGAACGAAGCCAGCAGGGCGACTTTGGGCTAGTCCCTGTGATGAACTGCAGTGCTCAGTCCCTCTATTGTGGGGGAGATGGGCGGGGGAGAAATCCAATAAATAAATAAATAAATAAATAAAAAATGTGACTCCTCTTGAAACTCAGACAAGTTCAAAGAAAGATTCATTTATTGAGAAGTAGCATACAGTCCCTAGAGTATTGCTGAAACTAAAAAGCCCGCAGTGCCAAGCTCTGCTTAATCCCTTTACTCTTTACCACCACCCCTTTCATCCCATAGTCCTTCTTGTGTCTTCCACTGGGTCTCTCCTGGTCTCACGCTGGTACGACCTTGGGCTTTCCTGAAAAACAGATAATAGTCCATCTGCACTTAATGGTTATTCCTCTAGCTTCTCCCCCCCCCACTTTTTTATAATGGCAGAAACGAAGCAAGCTAACTAGCAAACATGGTTAATTGATTGGGAGGCTTCTGACAGTCCCTCTCTCTCAGCCCTAGGAAGAAAAAGGCAGTGGCAATCTGCTTCCAAATGTGTTGCCAAGAAAACTGCAGGGACTTGTCCAAGCAGTCGCCAAGAGTCAAGACTGACTCAAAGGCATACTCATAAAAAAACAAAAACCCACAGCTTTCGACAACCTTATAAGGCGGGATGGTGTTATCCTGTGCTTATATTACAGAGTGAGTGAGATCATCTTGTAAATAGATCGTGCAAACCAGGCCATTAGTCCTTTATGTTGTTTCTACAAACTCTTTTCTGGAGGAATCTAAAGGCTCTTTGGGAACTTAACAGGGCTGCTTCGGTGAAAAATCTGGAAATGAATGTAGCTTCTTGTGGGTCTGTTCAATCACTCTTCCTGACTTGGGTTTCTCTCCTCATCCCTAGGAATACGAAGCTGCCATAGAACAGCTGAAGAACGAACAGGTCCGGATACAAGCAGAAGAGAGGAGGAAAACTCTTAATGAAGAGACCAGGCAGCAACAAGCGGTAAAATGTTATCTTATGATTTGCTGGACCGTGTAAGGCTAAAATGGCCGGATGAATAAAGTGCCCCCTGCCAGAGCTGCATTTCTGATTTGGCACAGGTAGGATCCCCACTCCCCAACCCTGGGCGGCTCTTACTTTCTATGTGGGGCAAAACAAATTACCAGAGCACCTCCTCACTTGTCCAGCAATCTGGCAGGGCTTCCTTGGCATCTCCTCTGTTCAATTTGTGATCGTCTGGGGCGACTAAGCTAAAACCCAACGTGTGGAAGCGTGCCTTCCTTTATCCCATCAAATGGATTCTGATAAAAACCTGCAGAGATTGGCACAAGCAGATCGGCTTGTCCCAATGATCTGCCATGCCTCCAAAGCTTAAATTCATCTAGCAAGCCCACTTGGGAGAGGGAAGGCTGGCCTAATATCCATTACTACTGACCGTCCCCCCATGGCCTTGCAGGACAAATGTCCCAGGTTCAATCCTCAGTGACATATATCAGGCAAATAGAAATGGGAATGACTTCTGTAAGATCAGACAGTCCTGGATTGGGAGGACAAAGAATCTAATCTCTATATTGCAGCTTCCAGGGCTCTTAAACCACCCGCTTCTGGCCTCATCGCTTCAATATTAAATTCAGCTTAAGAGGTTGCAGTCTTCCCCACCTCAAGTTTTAATTCTCAAGTCCCTCTTTTCTTTTAAATGTCATCTTATTTCTCCCGTGTGTGTTTTTTATCTTAAAGAGAGCCCAATACCAGGACAAATTAGCCCGGCAACGTTACGAGGACCAGTTACGACAGCAGGTTGGTCCTGTTCTTTTCTGGAATGCGGTGGGGGAAGGTTGAGATCACGAGAGGGGAAAGATCTACTGCCAGGCGTGTCCTGGGGGTGGAGCAGCAGGATAAAAAAATAATTAATAAACAGAAATGCTACGTGCTTGTGTGGGAAAAAAATGAAGCTCTGATTTAATGATTAGATGGTTTGTGCTGATAGAAATAATGTGAATTTGGATTAATTAGTGGTAAGAGATTAACTTTTTTTAAAATTTGTAATTAATAAACAGAAATGCTACGTGCTTGTGTGGGAAAAAAATGAAGCTCTGATTTAATGATTAGATGGTTTGTGCTGATGGGGCCGGCGGAGGGCCCGCGGCGATAGTGGTAAGAGATTAACTTTTTTTAAAATTTGTATTTATATCTGTATTGGAGGGAGTCAGAAGTCATTTTCTGTTTCGTCTTTCTATCTCCTTTCACTATTTTAGTTTTGGTCTTTTTCTTTTAGTTCTGTCTTCTTTCTTTGCTATACTTTCTGATTTGTATTTTAATTGTGCTTTTTATATCGCAATAACAGTTTTAATACAAGAAAATAAATAGAAATGCTGTTTGAACACATCCTTCCTCTAGGTTAGTTAGAAACCCTTGTGAGTACAGGGAGAGAAGGAAGGAGGTGATGTCCTGCAATGTAAATAATGTGGGGGAAAATATACCCAGTAGTTGAATGTTGGGAAAATGCATGGCTGCTGTTTCTAAGGGGAATAGAAACCCAGAAACACGCCCTTTTCAGCCCAACACCTTTCCCGTTGTCCACTGACCGAATTCTGTTCTTCTCCTCCAGCAACTCCTGAATGAAGAGAATTTAAGGAAGCAAGAAGAATCAGTTCAGAAGCAGGAAGCCATGAGGAGAGGTAGGGGATGATGCAGAAGGTGTAGATTTGGGGTCATCGGGCCTGCCAGCAGGCCTTTGGAGTTGAGATGCAAAAGCTAAGGAGATGGGAGACTGTAGGAAAAATTAGGGGGGTGGTGAAGAATCCTAAGCAACAGGAAAAGTTGGAAGAAAATAACCAGGAAATAAGGAGAGGGGGGATTTTTGAGAAAGTGGGAGAAAAATAAATGTTTCCCCTCTCAGTATCTGCTATGTCAGTGTTTTTCAACCTTGGCAACTTTAAGATGTGTGGACATCAACTCCCAGAATTCCCCAGCCAGTTGCCAAGGTTGAAAAACACTGTGCTACGTTATACCACTATCCTTTCCATCTGTATTTTGGAATTCTGGGTGGGGAGAAAGGATGGAACGTGGAGGGTGTAGGCACAAGAATTGAGTGAGGAGCGAGAGAAATACGAGCTAGTATTGCAAACGGGGCCGAGAACCACCTTTCCCTGGTTTTGTGTTTCTGGATGGGAGGAACAAATCACTCACCCCCTAGCATGAAAGAACAACACTCCACATAAGTGGTCTTTGGTGGGTTGAGTTACAACCCCCATCTTCCCCCAGGTTCCCACGCTCCTTTGCTTGCAGCTGTGTAGACTTTCCGTAGCTTCAAGTTCTCGGTCTCCTTTGTAGCAACCGTGGAACGGGAGATGGAACTGCGGCACAAGAACGAGATGCTGCGGATCGAGGCCGAAGCCCAAGCTCGCGCCCGGGCTGAGCGGGAGAACGCGGATCTCATCCGGGAACAAATACGGCTAAAAGCAGCCGAGCACCGTCAAACCGTGTTGGATTCCCTCAAGTACGTTTACTTAGGGGCGCGGAAACGGGCAGGTTTCTTGAAGTCTATGCAGTAATGGCCAAATGCACAGCCTTTATTCTGTACATAAATAACCACATTTCAGCCGGATCAGGCTTGCAAACGGATGTCTGGAGATGTCACTTCTTAAGAAATGTGATCTTTCTCTCCTTAGAACAGCTGGGACTCTTTTTGGACAAGGTTTCCGTGCCTTTGTTACCGATTGGGATAAAGTAACAGCCACGGTAAGGTTGCAGGTTCTTAATTATGAGTTGAAGATTCTTAATTTTTTGGCTGGATGGGTGAAGGAAATATATATGAATGAATGAATGAATGAATGAATGAATGAATGAATGAATGAATGAATGAACGAATGACTCCTTGCTTTTAGAGACCAATGCAGGAGTTACCATCTGCCATGGCTTAAGGTAAATCATGAGGCTGACCAGTGCATCTTCTAAGTCAGCCTGGGCATGCCACCAAAGGGAAACAGAGGAGGGTAGATCATAGTTTGTTCACGCATTGTGCTAAGCCAACAGGTTTGGGAGTCGGTTCTGGCTTTGCATCTTGCATGAAAGCAAACCAACTATGGTTTATTCTCCAAACTTACCTTCATGTGCAAATCAAAGCAATTTTTTTTTCCGGAAGGGTAGACTTCCGGGGTGGACTTGTACCCCTTCTGATTATCCTTGGGGGCTATAGGAACCATCTCCCTGCAGGAAGACATGTAAGGTGGCAGGGCACAGTAGTTGTGAACAGACCTTCACCCTGAGATGCTAGTTTTCTGAGTGCTGAGAATCATAATCTCCACATGTGAAGGTGGGAGGAACATAATGGGCGTCAAGGGTGTTGAGTTACATTGGGTGATTCTTACTGAGCCCTGAGCAAGGAGACCCACCCTAAAACTGCCTTTTGGGAGCGTCACTCAAAGCCCGTTGCTTGCAAGGAGGAGAACCTATTCTTTCCAATGCATTACCTGGAATTGCACAGGGTCAGGAGAGATTGGCACCATATTCCAATCTGGGGGTAAGGAAAAAATAAAAACTGAAGGAGAAAAAATAATGCTTTGTTATGCAGCCCCTCCCAGTGTTTGTTCTTTAAAAAAAAAATTCATTGTTAGAGCTATATGCGTGTTTGAAAAGGGATCTGAAAGCAACACCATTCTGACTTCGGGCAGGTGGCTGGATTGACTCTTCTGGCCCTTGGGATCTACAGTGCCAAAAATGCCACTGCTGTGGCTGGGCGGCATATCGAAGCTCGGCTGGGCAAGCCCTCTTTGGTGCGGGAGACCTCTCGGATTACCCTGCTGGAAGCCCTCAAACATCCCATCCAGGTACGCTTTCTCCTCTGGCCGCAGCCCGTGTCTTGCTTTCTGGACGGTGGAAGATCTTTTGAGTTCAGTGTACCTGCATTGATGGTTTGACACACCTGGGAAAAAGTCTGGCTGCGTTTCGTCATCTTTGCTCCCCACGACTACTGTCGTCAGCCCTTTGTGACGGGCCGAGTGAAAACACACACCAGATTCCAGAAGTGCCACTTTCTTGTTGTGGGGTATGATAACAGAATCTTGAAAGCCCATGTAATGGGTAGAAGGAATAACCTTGAGGGACAGGAGGAAGAGCCGCAACCAAGGCAGCAGTCGGATAAAAGAAATCTGAGTCCGGGCCAGAACTGTAACCTCAAAAGCGTCTCAAAAAAGACCCTCCCTAGTTCTCATAAAGGGAGGGAGGGGGGAAACGCATCCAGACTTGCAAGATTCAGTTACTGTGACCTTATAATAAAAGTAGTATTAGCTTGCATGTCTTTGGTTTCCAAGTTTGGTCTACCTTGAAGGACGGATGGCCTGGCAGAGTTTCTCTCAGTCCCATTTTATACCAAACGGAGTCAAGATGGGGTTCTTCAAAATCTTTCTCACACCTTCCCCTTTCCCAGTTGTCATTTGTTGTTCCTTAACAGCTCTGACATACCTTTATTCAGATTATTCCCAACTTCTCTCTAGCTGTCCCTGCAGAGGGTAACTCCTTGTGTCTCCTTGACTTTCTAGGTTGGGAGGCGGCTGACCAGCAAAGCTCAAGATGCTCTCGAAGGAGTCGTCCTCAGCGTGAGTGTTCACCACCACCCCTGAGGGCTACACCAGAACAGAGTCCATGGGCACTGGGCGCATTCGTTGATTAATTGGCCAGAGTGTCCATGGGGGTCACAAAAGTCAAGATGGCAGCCACAACCGTGATCAAAGCCCCATCCTTTGTACGTGTGTCTGTGGCCACCAGATATGTGAACGTTGGCTGCTTTGATGAATTTTTTCCAAAGGGGGGGGAGATAGATGATTCTGTCAGTGGCCATTTCATACAATAGCAAAACAGAACCTCCCTATTTGGAGGTAGTATACCTCTGAAAATCAGCTGGAGATGGCTGTACTAAAAAGGTCTTTCCTTCTCTGCATCTGGTCGGCCGTTTGGAAAACGAGGTGCAGGATCAGGAAATGCCAGGGACCAAACTTTCCACCTGTTAAGTCTTAATGCTGCTTGCGGGGTGTTGCGTCCTTTTCTTTGCAGCCAAAGCTGGAGGAGCGGGTGCGAGACATAGCCATTGCGACACGGAACACGAGGAATAACAGAAGCCTGTATCGGAATATCCTCATGTACGGACCCCCAGGGACTGGGAAGACCCTTTTTGCTAAGGTAGCGCTCCGATTTATCAATATTCTGTCAAAGGGGGTGACTGACCTGGTTATGGCTTTGGCCCCAGGGTTGCAACTTATTCTGTCCTTTTTTCCCACGTGGGTAGGACCGACTTCTCATTTTGCTAGCCGAACCAAAAGGACGAGATCAGTGTTTCCCAACCTAGGCCATTTTAAGATGAGTGCACCAACTCCTAGAATTCCTTGGCTGGGAATTCTGGGAGTTGAAGTCCACACATCTTAAAAAAACACTGGGCTAGATGCTGAAAAATGCTTACGTGTTCAAAAAGCGTCTTTTGGTTTCCTCTGGAAGCATGTATGTTTTCTGTGTTCCCCTGCTGGCTTTCGCACATGGAGGTCTTCCTTCAAACTGGAACATCAAGATTGCCTTAATTTTGCACAAAACAGGGAGTAGCTTTGGATGGTCTTGATCAAATCCAACACTAGGATTGTCCCTCCTTACTCACTTTTCTTCTAATTGCCAAAATGCTCTAATTCTAAGCAGTCTTCCATACTCTGCAATCATGAGGACTAGGAATGTGAAAAACAAATGCTTCCTCAACTAATTTTCATACTAGATGTTCTTTTATTTATATACGTATGTACGTATGTATAATTTTATTAAACGTTTTAACAACAATAGTAAGAACTAATACAAACTAAAATAGAACAGAAAAGAAAAGAAAAAGAAATAGAAGAAAAAGCTAAAAGTGCAAAAAGAAAAAAAGTAGGGGAAAAAAGATATAAAGAAAGATATAAGGAAGTGGTTTCTGATCTTCCTTACAGCAGTTATTACAATTATAGTTTAACCTCTCAAGTTCTATCATGACTCTTTTTTCTATAATCCATCGTGTCTAATCATCAATCATGAGTTCGTTTTTTTCTTTTTTACACAAAAAGTTCATAAGGGATTTCATACCAGATGTTCTGAACATGCTCATGACCCTCACCCAGTCAACCCATTGTCCTTAAACTCTCTTTTCCTTTCTAGAAATTAGCCATGCATTCTGGCATGGATTATGCAATCATGACTGGTGGGGATGTCGCCCCTATGGGGCGCGAAGGTGTGACTGCCATGCACAAGGTCTTTGACTGGGCCAACACAAGTCGGAGAGGGTAAGTTGGGTTTGGGATGGAGATCAGAAGCTGTGGGTCACACGGGTGGAGCAACTCTCTTTTAGCTCTTTCCTGCTCAAAGAGCAGGGAGTTGTCCTGTGTAGCAAACCCTGTTGTTTTCTAAAGTAATGCTAAAACAGATACGATCCAGCTTAACAGTCTCCTATTTGGGGTACAAACTGAAGAACGTGGCTTCAGTTCTCTAAATGTAATCCCCAGATTAAAAAGACCCCAAGAGCGAGGAATGGAAAAGGTGCTTCTCTGCATGAGGCAGTAGAAAGCGATCGACTGGCAAGCTAATACGGCCTTCCAATAGAAGAGAATATCTGTAGCTCAGGGTTGAACTGTGGAGTCCTTGGTGCTCTCCGAGCTTGGTTGGTTGTTTGCAGACATTTCATTACCCAACTAGGTAACATCATCGGTGCGAGGGAGTGTGGGGTTTGCTCCCTGTTTATATGCAGTAGCTTGCCCTGCCGGTGGGGGTGGGGTTTTCTCCTTGGTAGTTCCTTGATTAGGGTGTTGTTTTCTGCTTGATTGTTTGCCTGGGGTTAATCCCTGCTTATTGAATGTTGGTTGCTGGAGTGGATGTGTTCTGTTTTTGTTTCCTTCTTAGCTTTTTTATTGTTTCTTTTGAATGGTGTGTAAATATGGTTTATTTCTATGTCCCTATTAATAGCTGATTTGTTGGAATGCCAAGCTTCCAGGAATTCCCTGGCATTTTTGGATTTAGCTTGGTCTAGGATGCTCACAGTTTCCCGTTGAAACTATGGTTGCGTCTGTCCACGTGTCGTGAGACTGAGTTTTCGTCATGTCTTCTCTCTGCTTGTTGGTGTTCGTGGATGCTCTCTGCTAGTCTTCTGCCTGTCCATCCTGCGTAGCAACTGTTACAGTCCTTACACTGCATGTTGTAGATGACTCCTGTTTTTTCTTCTTGGGCTACTG